TGCGCGAGAAAGTCCTGACCCAAAGTTGTTGGTTCTGCCCCAGCGGTGGAGCTGCTTGGCCCCCGCACGGACTTGTGGGGCAGATGTCCTAGCTCGCCCAGATTTATTGCTTTTAGTTCAGGCCTGCCAGCAGCTATGCCACTCGAGAGCTTGCGAAATCTTGAGGTCAGTTGCTGAGGCGGGTTCCATCATTGGCTTGACAGGTATGACTCAATGACATCCTGCATGCGTCAAGATTGCAGCTACGGCTGCAGACCGGAGACCCTGCGAGCAATCCCGCCAGCGTACACCATAGACTGGCAGTAATGTCTGCAAGGGCAGACTGGATAGTGGCAAATGCTCGGTTAGGGTTTTCCAGTTAGCACCAGGGACATGGCAGTAGTTTTTGCCACGACACGTTGCATGCATCCTTCAGTCTTCTGTGCGCCGCCATCACCCCAAACTAGTGCAGGATGAAAACTTCTCACTGTGCCACCATACCATGCAAATTAGCTCACCAGGGCATGACGGCTGAAATTTACTCGAGGTTGCAGCCACTGCATGCGAGAATGGTTGAGCCGCAGCGTTCTGTGAGTTCACAGCGGTTGTTCCAGCCATTGCATCCAGGCTACCTCAGTGGAACCCCGTGAATCCTGCCAAGGCTGGCAAGACCTCCAAGTTGCAAGCCTCCGGCAATATGGGAGCTTCAGCCTTTGCTGCCTGCATCGGGGATTTAGCGCCGTTCGCCTAGAAACTATATTTCTCATGTGTGCTGGGCATAAGTCAGACCATAGCCATAGCAGCCCGTCACACTGAGGGCATGCCTAGCTGAGATGGCAGAGGACGTGGCTGTCACCATGCGGAGGTGGAAGCTCTCCAAGGCCACGCAAATCGGGCAGAGTTCTCGCATTTGCCGAGTTCAAGTTGAAAAGCATTCACGCAGTCTGCTGCCACGATTCCGTTGGACTTGAAGATTCGAAGACTGGATTATGAAGCTTGTGACTGTTGGGCCTTGCACCCAGCACTCCCGTTTTCGGACGGACCTCACCAATGCAGAAATGCTGCAATTTACTTAAGGTCGCAGTCGCTGCATGTGAGAATGGTTAGGCCGCAGCGTTCTGCGAATTCAAAGTTGTCATGGCCGCTAGCTTTTCCAGGCTTCCTCGCATCAGGAAGGGCCAGTAGAACGTAATGAGCCCGACCACCTCGGCTGCTAACATCTCTGATCTGCAGGCCTGGAGCAGTCTAAGCGCTTGTGACATGCCTTGATGCTTTTGCCCTTGATGCCTGACCTGCTCTTCCATCAGCAACTCCACAGACCGTTCAGGGGTATGCTTGGTGTCATGCCCAGGAAGCGTCACTACCGCCAGACCTGTTTTGCAGCTCACGCTGCCAGAATGTCCGGGAAGCCAACAGCAGGTGTTCATTTCATGGCTGCCCCAATGTGCAGCGCAAGATATTCGTGGTCTGTGGCAGGGCCACGGCCGGCAGAAACGGCGAACTTGGTTGTGGCTTCAGTGGTCCCTCTCCATGACCCCGGCTAAAGTCACAGGGCGGACAACTGCTTACTTGGCATCCGTATTGTGGAGTTTCATCCCAGCCGCGCTGCTGCCAAAAGTGACGTCATGTGCAGGGTTTAGGTTGTAGGTGCCAGCCAGTCGCCTGTTCCTAGTCTGACGCTGTTGAATCTACCCTGCCACGACGAACAAGTATCATTTACAATGTAGGGGGTCCTTGTAACAGTAGCAACACCCCTTTATGCGCACCGAATTTCGAGAAGTGGAATTCATGACAATCATACTTGTAAACTCCTTGGGAGGAAGCCTTACAACCCTCATATATTTCTAGGGTCCCCTTGTGGATGCTCCCTGTGTGTGATTGTTATACTATGTGTTCCTTTAGCCTTTGCAAAAGCTTTCTTGACTTCGCCTGATTTCGCTGTAGTGTCCTAGAAGGAGTAGCAGCATCATTGCGGGAGGAGGGAGAGAAGTGCATTTGTGTGATGACGGCCTGACCTGTGTAAGTTGCTCGAAAACTCCTGGTGTCGTACTGACTAGACATGTTGTTTGTTTCTTTGCTTCCGGACCCTTGTCCTGTGCATACGGAGTCTACGAGGGTATATGTGCGGCAGATCTCCCCTGAAGGTCTCATGGGATGTCAAGGAAACCTCCATGTGGGTAGTTCGTAAGTAGTCGCAAAGGAGGTCAATAAAGACCTCACAGAGCCTTACCCTTAGACAAGCGTTATATGAGCCTTATGTGATGGTACCCACCTGCTAACTCCCGCCCTGTGGTGTCCTTGAATATGATCCCGAACAGGGTAAGAAATTGGGCCAAGGGCCCCATGCTCTTGTTTGAGCCACAAACTCCTGGTTAAAGCGGAAAAGCACGTGGAAGCTAACAATATGGAGCCCCCAATTCCTTCAAATGATGGTTGCCTCTTTTTTTTCGCTTCAAGTTACCGAATGCCCCAAAATGCGGACCCCAACAGATACCCTGCTAAGTATTCACTCCGCGCATCACCCGCATCGGCAGACTGCAGCTATCTTGGCGATTAGGGGTAGACCCGGCGCCTTGCATTTGCAGGAGTCAACGACTAAAGCACAGTTATCGGGGGGTTATCTGCGTAGTACTTCCAATTGTGTTAAACTCGATTCCTAGACCGCCATTTTATCGTGTGTGCACAACAGTTTCCTAACTTGGTTTCATATTTTTCTGATTGATAATGAAGGTGTCCCCTATTCTCACCACGAAGAGAATGAAGTTCGCTGGGTCAATGAAATGCAAGCGCCAGAAGCTGGTTTTGCCCTAGAGCCTATCAACCCCACACTTTTAAACCTCAACCCCTCTTTTCGTTCTGTGGGTGATCCTCTATGCGGACCCATGGGATCGCTGCCAACAAGAACTTGGATGATCTGTGCTGCATGCAGCTGAGCGACTCGACCTTCATACAATACACTATAGTTGTTTCCATTCTATATTCCATTATCCCTGTTTCTTCCGTAATCGTCGCCATGATCATTGTCATGGTCAGCATCATCAGCAGCAGCCTGATCATCTTTGCAGCCTTATTGCTGGCTTGTTTTCTTCGTTACCATGACTCCAGCACTGGGGGCAGTTTGACCGGAAGTGTTTGCTTGATACCCTTCTAGGTGGTTAGGAAGGACTCGCCAACGACTTGGGCCATCCAATCCGCCGCGATCGGTTAAACAAATTGATGACTGTAGCAGTTGTGACTTGCCGACTTCTTTGCATGGATGAAAAAACCCCAGTGAAGCGTTGCAGCCCCTCAACAGGCACAACTGCTGACGTTGCCTCGAGGAACATGTCAAGGCGCGCAAAGCTTTGGGTTCTAGGGCTTCGGGCTCACAACTTGTGTAGGTGTAGGATGGTATCGGCGCGGGGTTTAGGGTTCAGGGCTAAGGGTCTAGGGTTCGGGTTTAGGCTTAATGTTGGGGAGCTTTGTGTAATGTCTGTGTATGGACGACTGAGTCAACATAGGAAAATGACTTGTAACAATGGAAAAGAAAGTAAAAACTACTATATTGTAATAGGGGTGATATAGGATTATATAGGGATACTGGAAAAGAAAATGGAAACTGAAAATTTAGCGTTTAATGGAAAATGAGTATGAGTCTGCAGCGACTAGGCAGGGTTGCGCTGCAGGGGCGCTGCGGGGAGTAGTTAATTGTCTTTCAATCGGAGAACTTCTAGAAAAGCCAGAGTCTAAACTCCTTAAAGGGGTTATACAGGGGACTCTTACAAGGGCTATTAAGGGGGATACTCGTAGTTTAGACAATGGCTCATACGGGCAGTGAGCAGCGCGCCACAGCATGTTCCATCGGATCCCCGCATAGCACTACAAGCGAAAACCAGCAAGTCGGGCGCTCTGGGATGTGTAGTGTTCTCTCATTGTATGTAACCGGGACTCTTGGTTCAAGTTTTTAACTTATTGCAGAGTTCCCTTAAGCTAGCACTTCCTCAGCTCTGCGCGTATTACACGGATCCTTTTTTTTCTGTTTAAACAAGCAAGGGCTGCCACGCCAAAATCCCGTATAGTTTGCAACGCGGCTTTTAGGAGTGTGGTGAACTTGTAAAGACTTCAGGCCAGCGAGTTGCGAGTCAACGAGCTTTCTTCACTTGCCTGAAACGTTCGCCCGCCTTACTGGCGCCTGCTTGCAGCATCGGCACTCGGACTACAATTGTGAGGGGGCAAGGTTCTCAAAATCATGCGGTGTGTTGCTGGTCTGGATGACCTGAATTCATTTTGTTCGGGTGGCATGTATGGAATCCGGATTGTTCGGCATAAAAAATCTAAGGTCATGCTGATACAATGCATGGGCGTAGTTAATTGTGGTAAGGCCATCTTCTCTTGGTAGTGTTGTGATGGTAGTAAAGATCATTGTTGGCAGTAAGTCGTATAATCGTTACCATAATTCTTGTGCACACTGTCATTGATCAAGATGATTGCTCTTTGCATTCGGCCAATCGCAAGTAAAGGAGTGGGGCATGCAAAGGCCTTAGACGTTGGTTCCTCCTTGCCGCAGCAGTTCTACAAACAAGCTATTGAGGATCTGGTAATTTACCGTCCCCGCTCCGATCCAGCACCCTAATCGAGCCTTGAGCTGTAAACCAGTTTGTGACTCTCTCAGTGCATTCCATGGTCAAATGGCGCCTGGCTAAAAGGCTTTCCGGCTGCCACTTAGCAGACGACAAAGTCAAAGTCCCACAGTTTCAAGCCCCCACAGCTTACGCACGCCACTAACTAGGCTTGTAGAGCTCTGGATGGTATGCAGCAGGTAACCTATGGGTCTCAAAAAACAAAGAGGCCCAGAGTGTTTTTGTTGTGGCCATGGACCAGGCAAACCCCTACAGCCTAAACCTCAAGCTTGAACCCTAACTCTGGAGGTTGCTCGGGATTCGTGTTCTCTTGCCATCTACACGTCATCCCCTGCCATCAATGCTGAGCGCAGATTGAGCCACAACTAGACAGTGAACTGCAGGTGGGAGTTGCGCGAAACGTGATCTCTACTTATTATCCCTAAGTGGGGACTCCTGTAATCTGCTCATAGATCCAGGATATTTCTTCTGCTAGAGCTTGCAAGGGGAACCCAAGATCTCCTTGTTGTTTCCTAGATATTTTGGGATCCCTTGCCTTGCTTTTGGGAAACCTCATACGGCAAGGCTTGGTCTGTCTTGGTCTTCCAGTCCTCTGGGTCGAAACTATGACGACACTCCACGCCTCAGCAAGATTTCATTCGCAAATGTCAGGATGCTCCAAGTGAGAGCGCCATGTCGGTTGAAATTGTCTGGATGCTCTGCGCGACATTTCGGTCCAAAATGTCTCCACACAAGAACATGTCAGCACGTTTTTGCCACCAACGCGATTCCGGTTGCTGTGCAATGGGTTTTGTGCTTGCATTGGTGCACGGCTATGTGGATCCGGGCGGCAACTTGCTGCGGATGGTGGGTACGGCAGCGTGCACGATCCTGCCAGGTCAACCTGTACCCGCTAAGTCGAATACTGGGAGTTTTCCTTTTAAAAGAGGTGCTTTAGTTTGTTTTGGGGAACCAGCCTGAAAAATAGGGCTCAGTCCCCAAGCCAGCCAGAAGGGGCCAGAGCTGGTCCGCATCACGGGCAGGGTTTGGCTCGCCGGGCTTGCCGCTTAGGCAGATCATAGGCTAGGTTCAGGGATTGTATGCCCTTCGGCCTCATGCAAAAACTTTAAGCTCCTCAAACTCAGGGTGGTGTATTTTGGCTCAAATGCCTGGTTTTTTCAGCCCAAACACCTGCCCTGTAGCACAACCCAGACAGCAGTCCTCAGCCTTTTCTCCGCCAGGAACAGGGGTCCCACATGTAATGTCAGGCCTTGTCAGACTTCTTTTGGTGGATCCTCATGCCCGTCTTGCCTGAGCACCGTCACTTTGCAATTGCTTTCGCAGGCCTGCCCTCTTGCCTTCCTGGTTTGATCAGGCGGAGCCATACAGGTTCCTGATTTTTCAAGACTTGCCCTGACACATTGGCCCGGTCAGGTCTATGCTTTCAAAGAGACCTTCAGTCGCGCGCTGTGTTGGCTTGGTTGTACACGATCGTTGCTGTGAGGTTTTCATGTTTGACTGCCCTGACAGGTCTTCCAAACCTACAGCTTCCTCTGCAAGGTGCCTGCCTAAGATTTACTTGCTCCTGTGAGTGGTCTGCCTCGCAAGCTTTAGCTCGCCTGAACTGAGATTTTCCCTGTAACTGCACATTGAGGGATGTTCGCCTCGTTGTTTCATCCGGGAGATGGCCGCCTTGCCTTGCATGAGTGCATGTGCACTAGGAGACGTTGCTCTCAGCAACCAGATTTCCCGTGCGGCCGTTCCCTCCTTCTTCCACGGGTTGAGCAGATCACCAGCCAGGTGTGCCCTGTGCTTCACAGATCCTCGCA